TTTCTGTGCATAGTTTGCATTCCTTTTGGTGACCGCTCCGCAGGTGCTTTGTTCTGCGCCTTGACTAGCTTTATATCTTGTTCTTGTACCGTGGAAACCGGATTGGCACACAATTTGAGGTATGGTGTTTTTTTACATATTTGCCTGCTTAAAGTACACGTAGATTACCGAATTCTCGTTATCTGGAATCGGATTTGAGGTTCCTATCTACGGGTCACTCAACCACTGGACGACAGTCCGGTACAGTCGGTGTTCGAACACCGCTTTCTTCGCCGCATTGCACGAGTTCGGTGGGGTAACTGGACGACCGATGCTGAGGTTAGGCTTATAGTTTTAGGTAGTCGATGTCGTCCACTGGAGCAAGTGGTGGACCTTCATAGATTACGTTGGTTGGGACGTGTTACGCATTTCATCAGATAGATTACCACGGCCAGCGATGTTGGCCGAGGCAGGTAGCGGTTCGGCAAAGGTCAAGGGAGTTCAAACTAAGACCTGACATGAGAGTATGAAAACCCTGACCAGGAATCTGGCTCACATAGGTCCCATTAGGCTCCCTGGCTGGAGACCCCGAGATCGTGGTTAGAGAGCGATATATCTGGGTGTGGCAAACAGTGGTGTTCATTAATCTACTCATTATTCTTGTAACTTGAGTCTATGTAAATACGCTATCTTCCGCTTGAATCTGCTGTCAACATTCGAATCTTCATTCTGCTGTTTTATCCAAATGGGCAACTAAAAGAAATCAACTAAAACTGGTGCACGAAAGTGCATGGTTAATGGTTGTAAGAACTGAACTGAACTGACCAAACCGCATGATGTAACACAAAACTGAACTTGTGCTCAAGCAACTTTCGTCGCATAACTCGCATTCCTCAACAAACTGAGTATTTTAGCCAATTTCGTAGTGTATAAGGCGGACGAACCGTTCACTGAAAAGCTAAGAAGCACTCACGGTACAGCTGCTTTGATCAGGTCGGGTCATTAGCAATGTGCATCCATTGATCCAACTAAGGATTAAATCAGGGATGAGGAGCTGTTTGTTGATTTAAATGGACCATCCTCCATCAAATTCGCCAAAGGTATAGACAAACCATATTTTCAACAGAAATCCACGTATTCACCAAAGACTAAAATCATTTTCCATCGAGAATTTCAAGATATGTGGACTGAAAACTATTTATGGAGGAAAAATTGCATTGAATCGATATACTTTACGAGTTTTTCTCTGTAATGCTAACGTACCACATAGCACTAAAAAGCCCCGGAAGCACTTACTGTACAAATGTTACATGTTTGTTGAGAATCCCTACCGGTAATTGTGACAACTGGCCGGTCAGAGTAGCCCAGTACTTGTAGGGAGGTTATTTCGACCAGTCGACGGGTGAGCGCTATATCACGAACTGTTGAGGCGATAACAAAAACCCCTAGGGGCAGTCAAAATAGCCTAGTGATCAGATGCCTGGTCCTTAACTCTGTATGTTCAGAGTCAAACTGTCGCTAGCTCAGCGAACATGCCCTGGCCACCGCTTGTGACGAGGGTGAAACAACCATGAAGCGCTATGCTTGCGATTGCAAGATGAATCGCTTTCTCGCTATCCGGTTTCCAACTATCGCAATGAGACATTTTTACGCAATTTCCTCGGAAAACTTTGAGGCTGATTTTGTGTCTGACCTGATCTGGGGTAAGAAAGCCCCCAATGGAAGATGACCGACCAACAGCCAGCTATTTTGTACTTGTTGGGACCCGTCTGCAGTGCGTGAAATTCTTGCCCCTGATGAGATTCGAAATGAAAACAACGGGATTAGCGGCCAAAACTCTTACCTATGAGCTTACACGGTCGACGGATAACAGCGTATGTGTAATCCTATGGACTTGATTCATTTTGAGTAGTCGACATTCGGGTCCAACGAAATAGGAGCCAGTTATTCGATTCGACCAGGCACAACCTTCCAAATAAGATGAATTATACGTTGTGTTTCGAATAGCTCTTGCCGCCCCAAAACCCAAAACTAGATTTATCGTTTGGGCAACCGGTGCGCAGGCCTTACACAAATTACCGATTTAAAAAATGAGTAGATCAATGTAACAATTTATGTTGATGATGATGAGGATGATGAGGATGATGGAACGCACAAAACAATGACCAGGAATGTCTCTCTCTCGAGAGAGAGAGACGGATGGGTGCAGATTCGGACAAAAGACCACAGGAAGGGATGGGAATTTCGAGTGGACAGGGCCCGGAGACACTCAATGACTCGCTCGTGCATCTATCTCAAGTGCTTATTACGCACCTGTACACGCACATGCGTACGAATATGATATATGCGGTCGCTTGAAGGAGGAGTGTTCTTCATGGGCCAGTTGCGCATGTGTCCGGTGAGTCAATTTTGTGTGCCACATCACAAATATTAATAAGATCAGGAATCAGAGAAACAAAGGCAGGACGGCTCTGATTTGACTGTACAGGAAAAAACAAAACAAAGTTATGGTTGCGGGGTGAGGGAAGGAAGCAATTATTCACTTGTTTGAGTAGACCTCAAGGAAATAGCCACAAATTGAATATGAATAGGATAACACCGTTCAGTCTGTCTGTCTGTCTATCTGTGTGTGTCTGTGTGTCTGTCTGTCTATCTGTGTGTGTCTGTGTGTCTGTCTGTCTATCTGTATGTACGTTAATTCGGTAATCGGAAGCAGAATACCCAGTTGACTGAACGATAGGCCACAAATGCAATCGGATTGCCCAAGGGATGCACAATGCACAAACGAATTACCGAGGTAGAAGAAGTAGAACAGTGAGGAGCGCCTGAACGGATCTCAAACACCCTAGCCAGCCTGTGTGTGCATGAACAAAACATGTAAGGGAAGATACCTTCAAGAAAGGTCAGTGAATTAGGTGAACAATAGACAAAAAGAATCAAGTCACGTGACTTCATACCGTAGACACGCACACACGCACACACACCGAAAATCAAAAAGAGGATAGACACCGGGGTGAGTTGGAGGTCAGAACGAATCGGACAGTGAACAAAGAAGGCTAAACAACTTAGTGGCGCGCAACAAGAGATGGGGGTGGGACTCGGAGAGGTGAAACGGAAGAACACTATCCAAATAAGCCCAGAGTTAGTAGGGTCGAGTCCACAACAGCCCGAATGCTTGTGTGTGTGTGTGTGTGTGTGTTTGGAAGGATCACAACGGAACAGAATCAAGCAATCGTCCGGGATGGCCAGTATGCAAAGTGTGACCGATTTGGATTAGGAGAGTGAGACGGAAATTGATAAAGAAACAGTTCGAAATAGAGAATGGGGAGATGGTTGGGAGGGAGAGGAGGGAAGGCGAATAAGGTGGACGACTGAACAGCACAATCACGTTTACGTAAGCAGTGTGCATTTGACACGAAAAGGATCGAGAGAGAGAGAGAGAGAGGGAACCAAGATTGGGGACAGATTGACATGAGGAAGAAATCCACAGCGTGTTAATTGACGGAGAAATGAATGAGTAAAACTATACACGATGAATGTGGTTTATTTTTGTGTGTCTGTGTGAGTGTATGTGCCGGAGACAAAAACATGTAGGATCGTTTTCACATAGCCAACGAGAAAGGGATGAGTGGGGCGACAGAATACCGAGACAGCCGTAGGCAGAAAAAAACGTGCTCAGTTGTAAGGGTTGTATTCAATAACAAAACTCTCTTATGTAACCAGAATTGTGTTTGCGGGTGGTGGTGGTGGTGGTGGTGGTGGCAATGGTGTGTATGTGTGTGCTGGTGTGTACCATTATCTGAAACGAGGACTAGTTCGATTCAATGGTATGTCCGGAACAGACTGAATAAGGACTGAGTGTACATTAGTCGGGAATGCTTCGGAATCGGGCAGGTGGACAAGCAAGTAATAATATCACGTGACGCGTCGTAAATCAGAAGTGGCAGTGACTCCTTAGGCATATAAGCACGAGAGCAGACTTGTTGCAGACGGTAGTGTTGGCGTTTGTGATTGTGGCTATGATGATGATGATCGAAACCATTCATTGATTTTCGATTTGTTCGTTCGTTTTATTTAGTGTGTCTGTGTATATATACGCGTGCAAATGCAACTGTATATTAATATCGATGCATACGCGCTCGATTCCTTCATAAGTTAGACGTCCATGATGTCTGTCTGTGTGTATACAGTGTAAGGTGTATGAGAGACGTATAGGACACAGGATACGCGTGCACCGATGTACCTCTCAGTCATACTGGTGTTGATGCGACGAAAGACCAAAAACGCAGATGGATATTACACAATCAGTGTGAACGACCGACGGCGAACAGAATGAGTGGTTTGTTGAAAGGTGTCGGTTAGAGGTCCCGGGCCAAAAGCCTCCTCGGGATCTACCGCACACTAGCTCAAATACAGACGGAGTAGATAGATAGTCGACTGGAACTAGCCCCGTCCCGATTGGAGATTTCTGAATTTGGTTGAACATAACTGCCAACCAGATTGCCCGCGGTCACCGCGGTCGAAGCATTCGCACCGACAGGACTACCTCGGGCAAAAGCCTGATGATCGAGTTGCGCACCAGCTCGGATAGTGGCATCCATCGGAGGTCGACTGGGTAGTGGTGGGACTGAAGGGAAAATCAAAGGTGCTGGGTAATAGTGTTGTGGGGAAACATTTGGACTATGCTGATGGGACAGATCCATCAAACCGTTCGTCGGAACTAGTTGAATCGGTCCCGGATTAAACAGGCCACCACCAGATCCGGCCCCGATTGGTCCTCGACCAGGATTCATATCGTCTGGGTGTGTGGAAAAAATCCAGGTCTCTTGTGGTGCGTTAAGGGTCGTCTAAAATATATGGAGAGAAAAAAATCACATGATTGGTAGAGAGAAAAAAATGTTTTCTTCAGTGCTGAACACGACAGGTCACAATTTAACTTGTCTCACATAGAATTGTGAACTATAGGATTCGTTCGTGGCGTGTGGGCTGAGAAACGAGACCACACCCGGGAGAACTTAATTTTAACTCTGATCGCTCGTTCAAACAACAAACGAAACTGGTCGACAGACCCACTGAACGAAAGGTATAGTGATCGTACTCAAATTTCAAGCACACACACACACACTTTCGCTCTCACCAATCGCACAATCTACCTCAGATTCATAGCCGTACCATTATTTTGGTTAGCTTAGCTACCCAACGGTTGCAGTCAATTGAGGAACAGTGCTTCACTCGCTAATTTTTGTACGCAGGAGTATGTGTGTGGGTGGGTGGGGGATGAACTAGTTCCAACCGAAGGTAAACAGTTTCGAAACCCATCAACTTCATGGGACGTTCGAATTTACGTAATCTCTTCGTTTTGTTTTGAAAAACTAACTTCACTCCCTTGCGAACAAATCGGACTCTGAGGGTTTTGATGAACAACAGTCACATCTCATTGGGGATTGTTGTGACCGTTAGTGTTTTGGGTTTTTGAAGGTGAATGTGTGTTTCTTAGGTGGAAGGATACACAATGAACATGTCTTGTGAACCCTTTTTTGTCTGAGTCGTGGATTTAACTTCATTATTCAGATCAGTTGTCGACTTCCACAAATGACACAAAACAGTATCCTCTGCTTGTACTCATCTGAACACGGTACCCTGATTTTTCAACCTTCTTTCGCGGAGAATTGCAGCTCAGAAAACTGCGTAACACGTAATAGTTCGCTGAGGAAAACATCCAATTACAGGTATCTTTTTTGTTTTGATAAAAATATGTACGTTGGAGTTGACCCTTTCGAATTGGAAATCGAAACCAGATGAAAATCGTACGGACATGTTTGAACACGGGAAACAGGAGAGACTTCAATTAGAGGGTAAATGCGGTGATTTCATCTAAAACTACATCACTCGAAACCAAATCTGTTCCCAATCGGATGTGTGTAGCGAATAAACACATCACGGGCGCTTCACTGGATATCTTATTCCTTTGGAAAATGAAATCAACCAGAGGGAGGGAGAGGGAGCGAAAAACACGAATCCTTAATCTGTCTCATCACGCAACAACCGTGTATATTCACAGTCTCCTAGGTACAAAATAATACTTTTGTTCGCTTACTTAATACTCTCATCGCACATTAATTTTAGAACCGTTTATACGTTCACCCAGCCCGTTTTGTGTCCCCCCCCTCCACCCCAACATACATACATACCGGCCTATAACTCGGAGGGCCCTTGGTCTGATCGGAATGAGTAAAAGGCGCCAAGAACAACTGGTAGCATTAATGGATACACTTTCTCACATGAAGCGCCTCCAGTTTGTATTTTGGGACAAAACTTGTGCTCGTGTACACGGACGCACATTTGTTGTATATCCACTGTCTCTCCAAGCTTTCCGGCTTGAGGGGAGAAGCAGACTATTCCGATATGTTATCACCTAGAAGAATGGGTGTTTTACACGAGCCTGAATTCCTCTGGTCCGACAAACACGAATATTGTTGTTGTTGTTGTTGCTGCTGCTGCTGCTGTTTCTGCTTCTAGATAACTAATAGTATCACCTAACCCTGACCAGGTGCAGATGACGAGAACAAAAAAAGGTACCTCATATGTGAGGCCCGATTGAGGACAATAATTTTGGGATAAATTAAGAGGCGAACAGTAAGGGGGACTTGGTGAATGCGTGCGCACCAGCCAGAGAAGACAAGTACATGCATGCGTTGCGCTCATCGCTCTCTCTCTCTCTCACACACACACACACACGATCAAAGTACTCGTATCCGCCTTTCTATTATACCCTCCTCAGTTCCACGTGTGGCGCCCAGATAAAAATTAGCATGAACGAACCAATATGAACCGATGCCGTGCGCGGGGCAGGTGGGGTTGGTAGTACTTTCACCCTCAATTCTGTCCTTCTTCCCCGCCCACCTGGGTCGGAATCGTTCATCCCCACCGTACTGTGTGTGTGTGTGATGAGATATGCAGCACCGCAGACAATGGTCATTGGAACGGGAACCGAGACCAGAAGAAGAAAAAAAGCCCCATGCCTACACGTACGCGCACACGTGCACTATGGATGAGGATGGGTCGTCCAAGCGAAACAGCAGGAATATCAGCACGATTTATGGGCTTTCAAGAACACACCGTATTCCATCCACAAGGCCTCATGCTAATCGAATTTCACTGTCGTTCTGCAGTTGCCGAAGGCTAACTAACTAGGCATAAATAGTAGGGAAAAAAACGGGCGCGGTCAACACTAATATCGCATCTAACACAGAAGGTTATTCTCGCTAGTATCAGGTTTTCATGGGTTGGGAGATATGGGAATGCGTTGTAAATGATAGTCGACGGATTTTGTGTGGGGGGTGGATGGGGGTGGTGGTGTTGTACAGTGTTTGAGCTATCACCCAAGAGACAGAGAGAGAGAGAGAAGAAAACCGGTGTTCGAAACTGAGGAAAGGAACTGTGATCCTGGCAGTTTATGATTAAATTAAAACTATAACGAAAACAGTTCACAGGGCATAGATGTATCTGGAAAAATATTGAGAGTAGTGTTTACAAAAAGTCCAGATATGATGGACTAATTCTCCATCTTCCCACGGAGGTATCTGTGGTATCTGTGTGATCCATTTCGATGCAATAGAACGTAGTTCAGTTAGTTTCACTCAACCGCAAGTGAAAATAGTTCCCATCGGAAGTAGGTCGTTCAAACCCCACCCCTTAGGACAGACCATTTTGGATTTATCCATGTTCGTTTGGTTTACGATTCCATGTCCTGTTTCTGCCAACGACACAGTTATCCCATATTCCACCGGTTCTAAGATAATACCTAAGGTTATCTCTATCCGACTTAATATGCTACATCGGAACTTCATGAGCTTACAACTCGGCCCTGATTCTCACCGGACCTCCTCCATGAAAACCCGCCCTTGAGACCGCTCAAGCTGATGAGAAACTTTGAGCAATCTGAACTTTGTCTCTCGTCCTACCGTGACAGGTTTACGGAATCAATGATAAGCACCGAAATAAATAATGCGATCCAAAGTGGTGAATTTAAACATAGGTATTCATGTCATTCTAGTGTATTTCTCAATCAGTGGTTATGGACAAGTAAGGTAAAGTTGCCACCCGAACCAATTCCACACCTGTATCATTTCGACTTAGTTCCCCACGTCCTAGAGATCCCAATTCCCATCCCACCCCTTGAACAGTACTCCTTCTAATGAGTTCCAAAGTTATATTTGGTCAAAATATTAATCGAATTCTCGTAGATAAATAGGCTCTGTTCCCTATACAGATAGATTTAGGCATTTCAAAGTCCTTATGTATATATATCAACGCCGCTATACAGTATCTTGTTTGAATGACGACGTCACTACTTGAGCACATGTGAACCGCACTCAGATACGATGTGTGTTAGCTTGGGTGAATTTCAGAATGAGCAGACAGCACTAGACGACCATATTCGAATTGGCCTTCAGCAAACGAGCAACGTGATCTTGCCTCACTTAGCTCCAAACCGAATGATGTTTGCCGACCGATGATAGCTTGTTTCTCCTGGTCCCTTTGTACACGTGTAACATAAGAACGTAAAACTAAGTAAAATTAACAGGGAAAGTGAAGCGAATAGTTCCCGGGTTGACAGTTTCTAGGGCTATTCGCGGCTCATAAGTAGCAATTAACAGAATCATCTTACTCTTTGTCCATCCGCACGCTGTTGCATCAGTTCTTCGGGGAGGCCGGGTCGAATCGGTTGATAAATGTTGTACGATGCACCAAAGTCACCGGTAGCGAATCCGTTGGCCGTTGTCTGATACAGACCAGCCGCATTTGCAGCTGTGACTGCAGCCACAGCATCTTCAGTTCGCCGTGGACTAGTCACGGCCGAGTGTGGAGTGAGAAATAGAACTCCGGCCGCCTGGGTCGGTTGGAACCGTTGGGCTGCGTTTGGGGTGTTATGTTGCCCGGATGCGGCTCGGCGTAGAGTGGCCACAGTCACAGGCAAGGAAGCCGGACCGGCATACACAGTCCCCGGACCAGGTTGACCGGGTCTAGCAAATGACACGGTATAGTTTGGGATGGACGGTCGATAATGCGTGGCTGGCATGGTTTCTGTACATGTGGGTGGAGCGGACGAGCATGGAGCGTCCGAGGGTGGTGGAGTGAAACCAAACAGGGAGGCACTCGCGTATTCCGGGCCTGAGGGAGAAAAAAGGTCGAAAAGTGGGCGTTGTTTATGTTTCCTTTCTCGGTATTGTGAGTCAAGGGAACAATGTAAGATTTGGCCGTACAAAGCTATAGGTAATACACCAGAAAAACGCTGTCTAATGCAATGGAAACACACACAGATCACCAAGATTTGAGTATTGATCGTGATTTGGGAGTAGGGAGGGAAGGGACAATTGGTTGTAATAGGGAATAGCATATAAGAACAATATTCATAATGATACTGTGACAAATCAGATGAGGTATTATTTGCATTGTACGCACGAATACGCACAAACACACGCGCACATCTGTCATCTGATGGCAGGACAGACAACAGTGAAGATGTGCACAAGATGAATTTTCACCTCAGAACATTTTGAAACTAAGTTATATCGCTTTTCGAGCTGAATCAAGCTGGAAAATCAATCAGTCAATTGGAATAAAGAAAAAGTGAGGAGCGGGAGTGGGGCTAGAGAAAACCATGACATAATGAATTGATTTATTAGGATATTATAGGCGTGTGTATATACGTGTGGGTGTTTGAGAAAGGAACGGTTACGAAAGCGCGCATGGGAACTGTTTTTCGAATGATTCCTTATCCGCGATTAAAATACATTGTCTGCTCCTGATCACGAACACTCGAACGAGAAATAGCAAACGGTTTTACCTGCACAATCATGCAGATGTGTATTTTTTTAGGAAGAAAGAGAGGTCCCAGACATGTATGATATCACGATGTTTCCTGAACGAGGGCATTCTTATGCACATAGCACAATGTCACATAGTCAGGCTCTGATAAACTGTGAGTAAAAAAGGAGAACCCCCAATCAATTCAGCGGAAAACATTGTACGCACTAATCCGTCTCACCGTGCTAACCAACCACAAAGTTCAAAGAGGTGGTAGTTTTCGTGAGTGATACTCCGCTGACGTTGATATTCCTATTAGCGAACTTTACTCACACATATCATTCAGTTAGGGGGGAAGAGACGAACAGTCGGTATCCGCTTCGATTCAATTCGCAACAAATAAGACCAAAACTTCCCTTTTTCCGTTTATTGGTACGCGGCAAGTCGGAGATAAACCAGAGTCCAAGGGGATAACAAGATGCAAAGAAGCTGGTACATGTCACTGACTCTCTGGTGGCGGGCGATCTTCTACGACAAGTGGAATTTCATTCCATATCTGTGAAGGAATCACCTTGTAACATCACCATCCTCATGTCAAGAAGCTGTCTTTCCCGGTTCAGCACATACACTAATACAAGTGTTGAACAGATGTGATCTGAGTTCAGAGTTACTATTCCTTGACTAACGGGCTACCATCGAAAGACATTCCTCGAGTGGATGCTGCATCAATATCACTGGTGTGGAACACACCGTGGTAATACGTGGTCAGAAGAATGGTCAGTTCAAATCAATGTCACGTATCTCATACCACTACTCACAAGTAACTGAGTTAAATGCGATTTACACTTTAGGGGCCATCGGAATTCTGCATTCACCCACCCGCTCACACACGCGCAGGAAGCGAATATTCCTAAGTGCGGTACACTGACAGAAGAGATTCGCCCTACAAATGCGAATGCTCTATATGGCTCGGTGATCAATAGCCAGACAATCAGTTGAAAAAGCCCCCTTGGCCGGATGATGAAGATCATCGAATTATCTTCATGGAAGATGTGTGTTCAAATCCGACCAACATCGTTTGACTTTCCCTATTCTGTAGTATGTTAGCCGTTTGATTGGTCGCTTCCTCTTTACTGCAAATAGCATAATTACATATTCAATAAACAGAAGTACAAGTGAAAAGGTAAGAATAAACGCCCTTGCTTAAAAGGCTTATTCGTGCTTTCCGTAAGATAGTCTCAGTATAGCATCCGGACATCTTGAGTTGATAACGCAGCCCCTAAAGTTGACATATCAACTGGAAAAGGTATAGCGCGTTATTAGTACAGTTGTTGTATGCTCGAACCCCATCGAGTAATCACCTTTTGCATCAAAGCTTTTTAAATTTTATATTACACTCACTTCATAAGCATATGATAAATTAAAGATATCAATATTGACATTATTATTATTATTATTATTATTATTATTATTATTATTATTATTATTATTGATTATTATTATTCGTTCTATTTGGCACAGTTGTACTTCATAGGAAATTCGGAAGGAATGAGTCAGTGAGAATGAGACAGTGAAACAGAATCGCTTTTGGCAGCGAGATCCATTAGTGAAACAGAATCCAATTTCTGTGCAAACAATTCATTACACGTGGTTTAGCATCTGGAGCTCTCATAACAACGGTACCGTGACCATGCTTATGACTATAACGTATCGAGTCGGGCAAGTTGTATGTTCAAGTAAGGGACAAAAACGAAGATGGATGCAATAAATGACGAACAAAATGTCTAAAAAAACCATCGACTGAGGTGTCCCCAGTATATGTGAATGTGGACTCGAAGTTGTGGGCCAGTTTTACATGCACAATTCTGTATCTGGATTGGAAAACGTACACGGATATGGCGTGCGTGTGTGGACCATCACCGGCCTCCGAGAGAGCGAGATCAGAGTAGGATAATATCGTGTTATCCGACGGAGACCACAAGTCATAAAACAAAGGTCTGTCTGTTTAGGGAATAGACTGGACTGTAGTTTGTCCCCCCCCCCCCCCCTCGGGTTCCCTCCCGCCGGAAATTACACACACACGAGTGCAGTACGACGTGTGCGGGTTTGAGAGAGTGATAAACATATGCGTATAGACAAATCGGAATGAGCATGAGCCTACCGATTTGCTTCTGGCCTCTAACACCACTCCAATAAAGTGTTTGGTGATGGCGGTGGTTGGACGGACGAACGAACGAACGGACGGGTGAATGGATAGGTGACAAAATGATGAGGTTCACGGTTTACAATTGGAACAACTATGTAAGGCAATCTATATAGAAAGCGTGTTGAATATCGCACTGAAGAAGATACGCAGGATACTCAGAGGCACACACAAAAATGACTTTTGGAGGCGTGCCTGTATAGCATGTTCATCAAGGAGATTCCGTCCGGGTGGTCGTGCGTATGTACGCAGCCTCAAGTCTCTTAGCCAGAACCGAGACGCACACACACACACACACACACGCACGAACAATAAAGTGGGTAAAACAATGTGGTCTAAACGACAGTTGTCGGACTACGCTAAGGGTGTTGCTGAGGCTTGGGGGTAACGTGGCTGAAGGATTAACCGTCTGACGAGAGAGACGAATCTGTCTGTATATATACATGAATGACGAAAAGTGGGCGTATAGAGAAGATGGCCACCCACGTTGTGCAAGTAATCAGGTTCCGGCAGGAATTATACCATCCGTCTGCCTGTCTGAATAAGACGAAAGATCAATCTATCCATCTCTCCTTGTTAAGATGGGTTTATTTATCCTAGGGATGCGGAACACAGGATGGTAGCCAGTTGAGAGTACGTTAACCGTTCGATGCATAAACCTAAAGTTCGGAGATAAATGATATTCATGACTGTGAAGGAACATGACAAATATCGGCCAAACAAGCTAACAACGAAATCGTATGGGAAACTAGGAATTGACATATCACGAATTCCTCCGATAGACTGACTAATCACCAAAACATGACGCATTCGCAACGTGTTCGACAATGCCAATGCCATTTACTGCGTTCAAAGTCGTGAGAACCAATTAACAGACGAAACGGCGAAGTATGCTGGATACAGAGAGCCGGAGGAAAAACAACGTGGCAGACCCTAACACCCCAACTTAAAAGAAAATATCTGCCCGATACTACAATGTTAGTCCCTAGTTCAAAAGCCTTGAGACATGATCATTTAACTGTGAAATTTTCTTTCTTGAACCTTGGTGCTCAGCCTTTAAACTACAGGCAAGCCTGGGAATAACGACTGTCGGTTCCCAGTTACTCTACTTAACAGCAAGTTTTGAACAAAGAATAAACAAACCTTTCTTGTTCACTGACCGGGGAAAGCACAGTAATTCGTGTCAGTCGACAATTGATCACATCCGAGAGCTGGCATGGACAAAGTATACTTCCTTCGGTCTGACGAACGCTGCTCAACAAGCAGAATACGTTCACACGCCATGTGTCAGGTACTATCTTATTCTCAATCAACTAATAGGTCTGTTGTAAAGCCAAATTGTAGCGCTCCTTTGTTAAGTCTTTAGGCTCGAGTTGATTGCTAGGATGAACAGTTTTTAAACGCACACTCTATTGTTTTGAAGTGATACTATTGCGGTATAAATGAACACATAAATCAGCCCATCCCTTCAGACATACCACAAATAACTCGCAGATATCATTGTTTTCAGTACACCTCCATCAACCCCACCGGGGCCTGAAAGCGACTTCTCCTGCAGTGAGCAGAAAAAGTGCACATACATTTTACATGCGAGAAGCCTGCTCGTAAGTGAGAATGTTCACGCAAAAAGCTACACGCTACTAGCAATGAGGACTACATATAAACTGACTATTGCAATTGCGGTTCTCAGGAAGTCGTTTCATCTATTATGTCACACATTACATCCAACAAAGTGAGTAATTAGTTTAATGAATTTTCTGTAACCTTCGGGGGAAAATAGGTTTCAGTGTCAGTAGAGTTCGGTGAGTAAATATTAAATAGCGGTTATATTACAGAGGAGGATCGTCCCTTTTCCATTATTTTAGTAAAATTTAACAAGACTGTATTCATCGGGAGTGATTGGAATCATGAACATTGTGGATCACGACGCGATAGCGGTGACGAGATACAAGGATCAAATGATGATTAGCTTTGATTAAATAAACCTTTAGAGTTAACGGATATAGTGGGCTCAGCTAGTGGGCAATGAGGTGAGCGCGGAAATCAGGTAAGG